CGATGGTCGTTGGTTGTGCGGAAAGTGAAGCGGCGGTGAAGAAGGGGGGAAATGGCGCTGACTGGCCAGCCGACGCGATCTAGAGGGAGGGCGGCGCCCAACCAGAGGTGGTCCTTCCGAAGCGGCTTGGTGGGCACTGAGTGCTGGTTGGGCAACCTCACCGCTTCATCGGACCCCCCACCTGCCCGGAATCCGCACAGCGGGCCACCCAGCAAGCGTGCGCTGGCGGGCACACCGCGCCGAGAAAAGACGAGGGCGGTGGAAATATTTACAAAAGTTTGGATCTTGCCCTCCACCACTGCTTGCGCCGTGCCCGCCGGGCCACCGCGTTGCACCGTGCCCGCCTTGCACAACCGGTGTCCATTCCCTCGCGACACGCGCGCGCCCCTGGTTGGGCCCCCGTCACGACTGCCTGGGCGACAGCCCCAGCCAATGATGCAACGCCGCCAGACTGCCGCGCTGGCGCCCGATTTGCGTGCGGCCCCTCCCCCTTCCTCGCCCCTCATTGGCCGCACCCGTTTTCTCCGATCGGGCCTACCATGCTGCATCGCCGTGTCCGCAGCCCCACCCCCCCTCGAAATCTGCGGCGATTCATTTTCAGTCCTTTCAGTCCAGACCGGTATTGGATGCCCCTTCCCCCCTTTCCGCTCATCCCGTCCAGTCGCACCGCCGCAAAAAATATTTGAATCGCTTCTCCTTGCTGCCCCGTCGTCCGCGAGAAATCCAGAAACGGCAGAAAAATCTCCGCTACGGCCCCCGGGCCGCCAAAGGGCCCCCGCCGTCGCAAATCATTCGCTCTCCCCGCCCTGTCCACTACCGGGGCCCGCCACAGCCCCTCCCCCCGGTCCCCCGGCCGCCCAACCAGCTCCTGTTTTGCTTCCAGCAAAATCCGACTTGTGTGCCTACGTCGGCGCCGTCATCGAAAAGAACACTTCTCAACATTTCTTCGCCAACACGTGTTCGCCAACACGTGCCCTCCAACACGTGTACAACAAAGCAATCAGAAAATGTACTCATCCATTTACACGATTCTTGCTTCGCAGTGTCAATATTTTTAACCTTTGCTCGCAAATGTTTCACGCTGGCAACAATCTTGGCACTCCCCCCCCCCCCCCCCCAACCAGTCGAATTCCCCGCAACACGGAAACCGCGAATGACCTCCTTGATCACCCTCGACACCTCGACTCGATACCTCGACACCTCGATATCTCGACACCTCGATAATTCGACACCTCGACTCCGCTCGGCAATCTGCAGCCCTCCTCCAATCGCAGAAGCCATTCCCGGACACGAAATCGCCTTGCCTGTCTTCGTCGTCTTCCCAACCTCGACCCCACCCACCGACCCATAGGGCACACTGCTTCCTTCGGTGACTCTTGCTACACCACCGAAACTGCTCGCTGTTCTTGCTGCGCGAGAGGGGGTCTGATCTAACCCTTGCCTTTGTCGCGCGGTTTGCCAAACCGATGCAGCTTCTTTGTGCATCAACTGCCAGTACACTAGGTCTCTTAGAGCAACCCCACCGCGCACATCTATTTAATCAATAGAATTTCTGCTCACGATTTTCAACCCCACCGCGCAATTCTATCGCTTTCCGAAATCGAATAGAACCATTTCGGAATCTATCCGAGCGCCGATAGATTCCAAAAACGTTCTATCCGATGAATAGATTTCCCGATAGAATGACACGTGCCAAGCGTATCAGCCGAATTCCAGCCAAATGTGCCTCCTACTTGCGAGAAGGCGAGCCGAAACTCCTCGGCAGGCGTGTCGCGCGCTTCATTCAGGCATGCAATGGTGCGCCAACACCATGGCACGCGGCTATGGTACTCGTAAATCAGCCTTTTATGTCCTCTAGTAGCGTGGGAGAGGCACATCTTCAACAACTACCTGTCACAGTATACTACGAATGGCGAAGCGCGCGAACTCGCTCATGCCGTCCCAACTGAGAACCTCTGCGCTGCTTCGTCGCTGCAGCATGCACTTCGGCGACGCGTGAACCGTGCATGCTCGCGACAATGATTTCATCATCCCCATGGCTGTCGTCTGTGTACTGAAGGGCGGTTCTGAGGACTTCTATCGGGTTCATTGGCGATGATGCCGTGTGGGAGCGCGTAGTTGGACAGTACCGGAGGGAGGGCGCGCGGCGAACAGGGACAGAGGGCACAGGCTGCGGAAGACAGACATGCAGCCGTGCGGGATTCACGGCGAGGGGTGGGCGTCTCGATGAACGATCGCCTCTTCGCAGACGATGTGTGACGTCTCGCTGCTGTCCGCATGAGCATTCAGCGATAGAGTTGCAAATATGCGTTGGGGTTGACGCGAATAGAATCCACACGAATAGATTGACGATTCGCCACAAAAATCTATTCGTGCAACCGGCGAATAGTCAGCGTACACGTTTCATTTCTATCCGGCAATAGAATCGACGCGGTGGGGTTGCTCTTAACCAAAGACCGATATATACACAAAAGACTATGTAAATTGCCAAATTCTTCGTTTTTTCCCAGGTTTATTTACAGTAGAGAAAACTAAAAGCAACTGGGCACAAACAGAGACGTCCAGGAAATGCAACTCCGGATACTGTAAACACCGTACACCTGAGCAAGGCCTCGGTATCTACTTGGTAGGTCAATGGTAGCGACGACACACAGCGATCCACACCGACTACAGAGCTTCTGGACCATATGTGCAAGGCACGCCTCCCCTCCGGCGCCTCGCTCCACATCGTCCTTGTTTTCGTCGTCCGCGACGGTCGCTGGGGGGGGGGGGGGGGGGGGGGGGCGGGGCTTTGGGGGAGGAGTCGTCGTCCTCGTCGCCGGGCTGGCGCGGGGCAGGGGGCCGGGGTGCGGCGGGGGGACTTTTCGTGGCGCGTTTGCGCAGATAGGTGAAGCTGGGGATGCGCTTCTCTTACTGAAAGGGGGCGAAGAGGGCCAGGGAGGCAACGAGCACTGCGAGTAAGAAAACGGATAGGAATTGGGGGCCATTTAATAACTATCAGGCTGGCGGTCTGGGACACAGGTAGCTCTAAATTGAATGTCCATCCTCCTCCTCCTCTTTTCCCTGTACGTTGCCTGCACATGCTTCCTTCTTTCTGCCTGACTTTCTGCTATCCCGTACCACCGGGTTTTTATTTGTCGGTAAAGCTGGCCATCGCCCTCGCGAAGCGGCGACTAACGGATGTGAAAATTTGTCATGCCCAAACACGGTTTAAAAATTGAATTACAGTCCATAACCCGCACAGCCACCCAAAAAAATTCTCGACTATAATTCGATCGCTAGAAATCATTCGATTTACCTTCACCTCTGAAGGTGTCAGCACACCATTTACTGGTTTCTTTTTTCGGTGTATGACCCGGCAAAACTCAGAAGCCCCCTAGTAGCCCTTATCCACCAGCACGCCCCAGCTTCTCTCGAACTTATCTGCCAAGGGCCCATCGTCGTCGTAGTCCATGTCGCCGCCCTTTTTGTTGAGCTGCTTTGTGTGCAGATATTGCATGCGCTGGAACAGGGTCAGGTCAGACACTGATCCCGGTTCATGCTCACTGCAGCGCAGAGCAAGCCCATTCGGCAATACCGAGACTTCGACCTTGTAGCCATATTGCTTGTGTATTCCGCTAAAATATTTCTTTCCCTCCTCCACACTTCCACTCGGGCGAAAGCTGGGCTGAAACGTCACATCTGTGGCATACAGAGCCATGGGATACTGACAAAAATTTCGGCGGCTCTCATACAGTTTGTCCATGGTGCACTTTCCAGCTTGAGCCTCAACATAATGCTGACACACAGGGAGTGATATGATCTCGACAAATTTCATTATGAGCTTCTCAAAAGAGGGACCCTTTAGACCAAACATTTTTGCGAGAAAGTCCCACTGACCCCCGTGCTTCATGACGCATAACGTCATGAACAAGACATCCTTCCCTGTGTGCACGGATTTTCGGCCACGGCCCGTGTTGCACCGTGCCATGATTAGTTCCTCAAAGCCACACCACATGCCGAGAAACTGTGTAGGATCGAAATTTGTCATTTCGATAATTGCCGCTGAGCCACCCTGTTCATAAAACCTGTCAAATGTAGGCGATTCGAAGTCAACGTCCTCATCAGTTTGCACGTCGTGGTCTTGTTCGTAACGACTTATTTCGTTGTTGCGTTCAACGGCTGCATCTGCCAGTAGCTGAAGGGCAGTTGCGGCTTGCGTCTCGGTGATGGGAGGCATGGTTGAGCCTCGAAAGGGGAAGAGGGATTCTGCAAGGGAAGGTGTGATGAGGGAAGCGGGGATCTGCAAGGGAAAGTGTGGTGAGGGAAGGGATGGGGGTGTACTGTCTGGAGGTTGTCTAGAAGGGTGGGGTTTAAATGCGCAATGATCGGCATGTTTCCAAAAGAGGCGGGCTTTTTCGTAAGTCTCCGTCCACTTCTATTTTTACTGTAGACGCACAGTACTGCTACGTGTTATGTTGACCAGCGATGATTCAACTGAAT